ACTGATGAGGCCACAGAGGCTGGAGGAGCAGAGCATTGGTCAGGATCACAAGGGGAGGACATGGGGCGGAGCTGGGATGCAAGCCTATGTCCCCTAACTTCAAACCCAGTTTTTTTCTTCTCCATAAACCAAGCTGCCTTTCCTGTAATGTGGAAACCCCAGAGGCAGACGGTGGGTGTCTGGAGCAAAGGGCTGGGAGTGGGGATAGAGCTGTGCTCTCCAGGAGCTGAGGAATATGAGAATGTCTGATGATTAGAGCTGTAGGAGCAGAGGTCTTGCAAAGGAAGCTGGGCTTACAACACCCTCAATCCTTGTGCTGGTGGGTTCCTCTTTTCTCTGAGTGGGGGAGGGATGGAGTGTCCCCCTGACCCCTGCTAGGAAACACTACAGGAAGGAACAGACAGGAACCCAGAATTCTGACCCACACTGGGCCAGACGGGCTCCCTCATGCAGGGGATCACTGGCTCAGGGAACGGGGGAGATGATTTAGGCCTCATATTCTAGAGCCTGTATGGCCCTGGCCCCATCCTCATCCCCCCAAGACCACAGCAGAGAGAAGCAAAGAAACCTGGCTTGGCTGGAACTTAGGATGCCTGGTTCCGCCCTGACTTTGGCCAGGTTCTCTCCCAATCAGTACTCTCATCTGTATAGTGGGGTGGGTGGGATGAAATGACCCTTCCAGCTCTGACATTCCCTGTTCTAAGGTCCCTCCAAGCCCTGACATTCTGTTCTAAGGCTTCTCCCAGCCCTAACATTCCCTGCTCTAAGGGCCCTTTTATTTCTGACATTCTATGTTTTAAAGTCATTCCCAGCTCTACTATCCTCTGCTCCCAAGTCCCATCTAGCTCTGATGTTCTAGGTTTCCATGACCTGAGAATACAAACCATAGCCACCAGCATGTTGTCAGGGACAAACAGAGTGGTGATGTTGCAAGAGGGCACATGGAGGATCATCTGGGAAGGTGTCTCAAGAAAGCTTCAGGTCCCTTGGAGGAAGTGGGTGAGAGAAGGCGGAGGGCAGAGGGAGCTCTTGCCAGCCAGGCCGCCTGGTGTGTGCTCACTTCTCTGCTCCTGGCTCATTCAACCAGCTTGGCTAGGGGGAGGGGTCGTGGGCTGCCGAGCTGGGTTTGAGGATTCCACATCCTTCCTCCTCCTCTTGGCTACCACGACTTTCCTGGGCCTCCCTGCTGCTCCTCACCCACCATAACGTAGGCCCCCCTTCTTTCCCCAGAGTGCTGATGTAGAAGGAAGAGCCCTGGCATTGGAGTCACAAGGACCTGGGTTTGAATTCTCACTCTGCCCCTCACTGTGAGAGACTGTTTAGTATAATAATTAGACTGCAGGATTTGGGGTCCTGAAACCTGGATTTTAATCCAGTCTTCAACATTTACGAGCAACGTGAGGGCAGCTAAGGGGTGCCATGATGCATAGAGCACCAGGCCTGGAGTCAGGAAGAATTATTTTACTAGCTGTGTGACCCTGGGCAAGTCACTTAAACCTGTTTGCCTCAGTTTCCATATCTACCAAATGAGCTGGAGAAAGAAATGGCAAACTACTCTAAAATCTTGGCCAAGAAAACCCCAAATGGTGTCACGGAGAGTTGGACATGACTGACAGACGACTCCACTACAATAACCCTCCAGAACTGCTGTAAGTGTCAAAGGGCATGATATTTGTAAAGTGCTTTGCAAACCCTGAAACACGTGTAGATGCTTATTATTGTTATTAATTATTTTTAGATTAATTTATTATTATATATTTATTTTATTATATATTATTTATATATTTATGTTATATTTTATATTTATATATTTCATATTATATTTATAATAATAATAATTAGTTTCTTATCTCTGCCTTTGCACTGGCTGTCCTCCATGAAATGCATTATCTTCTCACTTTGCTCCTTCGAATCCCTGGTTTCTAAAGGATTCACCTCGTGTACTGCCTCCTACGTGCAGACCTCCCTGATTTCAGCTACTAGTGCCTCTCCCCTCCTAATTATCTGGTAGTTACTGTGTACATGTTCTCTACATACATGTGTATGTATATGTACCTGCACGTGAGCACATGCACACGTGTTATGTGTGTGCACACCCATGTACAAAAATGAAACTACCTCTATCCCAAGGAGGCAACATTCTATCAGAGGAGACCATGTGTGTCTATATACATATGTATACATGTACAGACACATACACACATTGTCTCACCAGATACAATACTAGGCTCTGGAGGCTGAGGGTGATTTTATTTCTGTCTTTCAATCCCCAACCCCTAGCACAGTGCCTGGCACACACTGGTGAATGGTTGGGTCAGGTCTTACTTTACTATTCATATGAGTTAGTCAATTAGCTAAACAACTTTTTATCTTTTGCAGCCTAGGAGCAGAGAAAGCATGGTGCAGCAGATAGCACTGGGGTTACTACTATCCTCAATAACCTTCAATGTCTTTCTATCGCTTCTAGGATAAAATCCAAACTCCTCAGCTTGGTGTTTAAAGATGTCCTTCATGACCTGGCTCCGACCTATCCTCGCAGACTGATTTCATATGATTTCCCCCTTATATAGTCTATGTTCTTGCTAAACTGGCCTGATGGTCATTTTTTGTACATGACATTTTGTGTCCCACCTCCATGTATTTGAACACGCTGCTTGTCCCCTCAATTCTCCCTTTGAAACTCCTCTTCAGGGCTCCCTCCCACACAAGGCCCCTTCCGGTTGCCTCAGTTATCAGCATTCCCCTCTCCAATCCTTACAAATTTGTATTTATTTTGTACGTCTCATACACTGGCAAAGGGAACGTCCGTGCCCAGTAGTTTCTATATCAATGAAATCTCAGGTCCAGACCCTACCCTAGCCCTCATATTTATTTATCTGGGTACATGGTGCATTCCCCCAGGGGAAGATTTAACTGCATGAGGCCAGGCACGACTTCATTTTTTTTCTTTGTTGTCCTGGTGCCTCTTATAGTGTTTGGCACACAGTAGGTGCTTAATAAATGCTCATTATTTGGTTGATTGAGGAATATGTGGATTGAAACCCTGTGCTGGACACTTACTAGCTGTGTGACCCTGAGAATGTAACTTAATGTATTTCAAACTCAGTTTCCTTATCTGTAAAAAGGGGATAATAATATCTGCAGGCTTACTTTACCAGTTGTTGTGAGGAGCAAATGAAATGGTGTCTGTAATAATGTAGGACAGAATGAGATTTTGAGGATCAAGGCCTTGGATCCAGGAGAAGACCTGACTTTTCTTTCGAATTCCACGGACAGAGAGAGGGATGTCTCGTCCCACAACGGCAGTGAGTGTGTTGGGGTCGATGGCAAGTTGGACATCACTTGGGCATCCCTTTGCAAACCTTAACCTGCTAGATATGCCAGCTATTTTTAGGATTTGATTCAACCCCTTAAATTTTACAGATGAGAAAATTGTGGCCAAGGGCAAGGCTCGGTGATTTGCCCAGAGCCATGTGAGTGGTACAGACAGGTTTCAAAGTCAAGTCTCCCTGGTTCCAAAATTGACTACGTTTGTCTTTATATCACCCTCCTCTGAATATGGCCGTCAGCGCCATGCTGGGGGCAGGAGTGGGACGAGTGCGCTCTCCAGGCAGTGGCAGGGCCCACAGGTCTTGGAGGGGTTTGGGGGAGAGCTCAAGCAAGTCACTGCTTTTACTCCACCAACTTGACTCCACCCCTCCTCCCGCAGGTCTTGGAAACAAAACTCATTAGACTCAAAGCTCTCTGAGGGCAGGGACAATGTTTTGCCTTTCTTTGTAACCCTAGCTCTTAGTACAGTGCCTAGCATATAACAGGTGTTTAATAAATGCTAATTGCAACCAATTTTCCTCCCTGATGTGAAGGGAAAGCCCAGTACTCACGGTAGACTTGGAGATGCTTGGATACAGTTGTCATTGAGAGATTTGGCCAGACCTCTTGGAAAGTGTAGAGCCTCCCATCTGTCACCTTGATATTTCTGATCAGCAGAGAAGCATTTTTATAAAGTACTTCCCGGCCAGTGTAGCCAGGACCTCTATTGTGGGATTTAGAGGAAACGTTGTAAGATAGAATGAGATTTTGATGAACAAGGCCGTGGAACCAGGAGTAGATCTGACTTTTCCTCTGAATTCCATGGACAGAGAGAAGGACGTCCTGTCCCACAATGGCAGTGCGTGTGCTGGGGTAGATGGCAAGCTGGGCATCACATGGCAGGCTCCTAGAGGTGAGAAATGAGGCTGGGAAGCAAAGATAATGAGAGTAAATTAAAAAAAGAGAAAAAGGAAAGGAAGGAAGAGAAGGGAAGAGCAGGGGAAAAGGAGAAGAGAGGATGGAGCGAGGGGGAGAGAAGAAAGAGGAGAGGGGAGGGGGAGGCTTAGCAGGCACAGTGATGCCTTTGGGATCATAGGATCATGGAAATAGAGCCATAAGAACCTTAGAGTTCATCCGATCCAGGCCCCATTCATTTTACAAATAAGGAAACTGAGGTACGGTGAGGAGAAGAGGTTTGTGCAGGGAAATGTGTCAGAGCTGAGATTCAAACCTAGGTCTTCTGACTCCTATTCCATTGCTCTAAGAGGAGGAGGGAAGAAAAGTCTTCAGTTTTTATTCCTAGGAATCAAGTCTGTGTCAGCCCCCAGGGAGGCAGTTTGGCCTATCGGAGAGAGAGCTTAATTTACTGCAAAGAGTACCTAGGTTCACATCTGGGCTCTGACCCTTACTTGGTGTGTGGCTCAGTTCAAGGCACTTAGGTGCTCCTGGCCTCAGTTTCTTGATCTGTAAAATGGCACCTCAGGATTAAGAATCTAGGTCTGAGAACAGCTCACTTTTGTGCTTTGATGTTTATAAGGAATTTTTGTGAGATGACACTTGGAGATAGGAAGGGCAAGGATGATCTCCACTTTACAGAAGAGGAAACTAAGGCCTAGAGAGAAGAAGTGACTCATCCAAGGTCCTACACCAACTAAATGTCAGTGGAATTCAAACTCAGGTTCTCAGAGTGCTTTTTCCTTATGACCTGGGGCAGATTTGGGGTCCTACATATACCATGTCCATGAGTATGTACAGATGCCTGAGTGTGTGGGCCTGTGGGCCTGAATCTATGCACAGTTATTACTGTGTTTACACGTATCTATATATATCCATGAGAATGTTCTTAAGGGAGGAGGCAGCTTAGGCAGTTTTAGCCTTTACCACAGAGCAGAGAATGTCAGAGTTGTGATGGATCTTAGAACAGGGAATGCCAGGACTGGGAGGGGTCTTAGAACAGGGAATGCCAGGGCTGGAAGACTGAGAACCTGGAATATGACAACTAGGAGAGACCTAAGAACAGATAATGTCAGAACTGAGAAGGACCTTAGACAAGAGAATGTCAGACTTAAAACAGGGAATGCTGGAGTTGGGAGGGCCTAAGAACAGAGAATGTTGAAGATGGAAATAGAAGATTCCCTTAGAATAAGAAATGTCAGGACTAGAAGTGGCCTTAGAATGGCAGAGCTGGGAGGGCTTTAAGGGAAGCCTAGTCCGAGCTATTCCTTTCCCAGCTGAGGCCTAGACATGGGAAAATGATGTTTAAATTTCTTCTGTGACTCAGTGGCAGAGTCAGACATCAGTTTATTTTGTCTTCTGGTGCAACGATAGGTGCTTCTTCCTTCTATGGTCTGTTGAGGGGGAGGGGAGGAGTCCGTGTTTGGAAAATGAGACATGGTCGAAGGATATCTTTCAGAAGAAATCAAAGCTGTCTATAGTCATATGAAAAAATTTCTCTAAATCATTATTGATAAAAGAAATGCAAGTGAAAACAACTCTGAGATACAGCCTCACACCTACCAGATTGGCCAACATGATAGGAAAGGAAAACGACAAATGTTGGAGGGGATGTGGGAAAATAGGGACACTAATGCACTGTTGGTGGAGTTGTGAACTGATCCAATCCATAAAGCTGTGCATATCCTTTGATCCAGAAATGCCCCTCCTAGGTCTGTATCCCAAACAGAGCAAAGAAAAGCAAAAAGGATTTTATTTGTACAAAAATAATTACAGCAGCTCTTTTTGTGGTGGCAAAGAATTGGCTGAACAAGTTGTGGTATATGATTATGATGGAATACTATCGGACGCTTTCAGAAAAATCTGGGAAGACTTATATGAACTGATGCAAAGTGAAGTGAGCGGAACCAGGAGAACACTGTACATAGTAGCAACAATGTCATAAACATGATCAACTGTGAAAGACTTGGCTGCTCTGCTCAAAACAATGATCCAAGACAATTCCAAAGGACCCACGATGAAAAATGCTATCCACCTCCAGAACTGATGAACTCTAAAGGCAGATTGAAGTACATCTTTTTTCTCTTTCTCTTTCTTTTTGGACACAGCTAACACAGTAATTTGTTTTCTATGACTATATCTATTTGTAATTTTTTCTTGACTTCTCAAAGGGAAAGGAGAGGGGAAAGAGAGAATTTGCAACTGAAAATAAAATGAAGTTGAACTAAAAATGAGATGAAGGGGCATACAAGTGACCTAGGAACATGGTCCAAGCTAGACACACAGAAGACACTTAAGAATCACATCCTTCTTACTAGCTGTGTGACTCTGGGCAAATCACTTAATCCCAATTGCTTCACCAAAAAGCAAAACAAAAAACCCAAACAAACCAAACTGAAAAAGAATCACAGCCTCTTGCTTCCTGTGTGACTAGTCCCTTTCCCCCTTATTGGCCTCAGTTTCTTCATTTCTGAAAGGAGAAAATGAGACTTGATTGTCCCCAAGTTTCCTTGCATTGCTGAATTCTCTGGTTCTGTCACTCATTGTAGGATTTTTGGCTATCCATTTTCTCTTTCTTAGATTTAATTTCTCTGTCTTTGAAATGGAGGCTTTTCATGTCTCACTCATTTCTGAGGTTTTGCCTACTTGCTGGACCAAATTGAATTGAATATCTAAGGAATCCCTCACAATCATTAATAACTGACATTTTGACAATGTGTTAAAGCTTGCAAAGGGCTTCAATACATTATCTCATTTGTACCTCTTAACAATTCAGTGGAGGTAGGTGCTGTTTTCATTCCCTTTCTTACACATGAAGAAACTAAGGTAAAGAGAGGCTGACATGCCCATAATCATCCAGCTAGTGAGTGTCAGAGGTGGGATTTGAATGCAGGTTTCTCTTGTACAAGTTCAGTGCTCTATCCATTATGCCCTACTGCATCCCTAGGCATAGAGACAGGCTTGACTCCTATGGATGAGGACTGAATGCTCTTTATCCCTCCACCCTCTGAGTCTCTTGTATCTTTCTCTTCCCCAGTGGCCCTTGGAAGAGTTCAGCCCCAGAAAGCAGACCTTTCTTGCCTGTACATCTCTTCTCCTTTTCTGCTTTGTCTGGGATTTGGAATGGTCTAACTGAATAATCCCACTGGATGGATATGTGGGTGTGTCGACCTCTTCTTTCTCACCTGTGAGCAGGAGTGTCTTCCAGGGTCCAGAAGGGTGGGAGGAAAGGTCCATCTTGTACTGAGTCAGTGTGGTTTCCCAAGCCTGTGCTTCATACACTAGCCCTGACCATAACTTTCTCTGATGGGCCTGAGGTTCCTGTCTGCTCTTTCTTCCTAGGGAAACTTCTTTACCCTGCCTGATCACATGGGCCAGCTGAGGTTTCCTGTCTTCATCCTTTCTTGTCCCTCCCCTCTGGTTGTATACTTGGAAGCTCTGGTCCCCTCAGGATCTCCCCCAGGGATCACATGAATATCCCATTGGCTTGGGTACTTTAAAATAAGACTTTCTAGAACAGCTCCAGAGCAGTTGACTAGGGAGGGAAAGGGGTCTCCATGCTAAGCAATGGGAGAGATTTCAGAACTAGGTCTGCTGCTGATTGACTGTGCTATTCTGAGGCTCATTTTCCTCTTTGATTCCCAGTTCTTCAATAATATCATTAGGTAGGGTTGGAACTGGTTGAATGAGTGGACCCAGGGAGTAGTTATTAATGGATAGATTTCAATATGGAGTTATATCTTTAGTGGATTGCTCCAGGGATGGGTCCTTGGTCTTATGCTAGCCAATATTTTTAATAATAATTTTTAAACGCATTTTGAGTAATGACTTGGACAAAGGATCATGAAATTTGAAGAGGACACACAACTGGGAGAGACAGCTAATGTATTAGGTGGGAGAGTCAAAATCCCAGAGGGCACCAACAGCCTAGAATGATGGACTGAATCTAATAAAATGGAGATAAATGTTAAGTATTATACTCCACATATACAAGATGGGAGAAGGTGTGACTGGACAATAGTTTTTGTGATAAAGTTATAATGCAATGTAAGTTTAACACAAATCAACAATGTGATATGCTCTATCAGTTGACAATCACTTCCTGGGAAAGACCTTAATTTAAAAAGGCCAGGGTCACCCACTGCATCCTGGGCCATCACCAGTCATCTTGACTTTTGTCTTACCATGGAACTCTGATGACTCTGGAGGACAGAGTGAGGCTGATGACTGCACTGCTCTGCCTCACTTAAATCCAACTCGCTGGCAAGTCAAGACATTGCCCTTGTGATGTCAGTGGTCCTCTTTGAGAAAGAAGGACCATAACAACTTCTAAGCACTTATTATGTGCCAAGCACTGTGTTAAGTAGGGGGATACAAAGAAAGACAAAAACACGGTCCCTTACCCTCCGGGAGCTCCCATACTAATGGGCAAAAAAATGATACATACTTAGATGTACAAAGTGGATGGTCATCTCAGAGGGAAAGTACTAGCAGTGGTGGGGAGTTAGGGAGTCCAGAAAAGCTTCCTAGAGAAGGTGAGGTTGAAGCTGAATCTTGAAGAAGGTTAGGGACTCCTGGAGGCTGATGTGAGGAGGGCCAGAATTCCAGGCAGGGGAACAGCCAAGGAAAGGCAGGAAGAGCAAGGAGGCTGGTGTTATTGGCTTATAGAGTAGATGGAGGAGAGTAAATGTAGGAAGATTAGAGAGGTAGGAAGCTGTGAAGGGCTTTAATAGCCAAACAGAGGAGTTTTACATTTGATCCTGGAGACAATAGGGAGCCAGTGGGGTTTATTGAGTAAGGGTTGAAGTGACATGGCCAGACCAGCATTTTTGGAAAATCACTTTGGTAGTTGGTGAAAGGGCAGCTAGGTAACGACAAAATGTGTAGAGCATTGGACCCCAGAGTCAGGAAGACTTCTCTTCCTGAGTTCAAATCTACCTCAGATACTTACTAGCTGTGTGGCCCTGGGCAAGTCATTTATCCCTGTTGGCCTCAGTTTCCTCATCTGTAAAATGAGCTGGAAAAGGAAATGACAAACCACTCCAGGATCTTTGCCAAGAAAAACCTCAGATAGGGTCACAAAGAGTTGGACAAGACTAAAATGACTGAACAACAGCTGGGTGAAGGATAGATTTGAATGGGGAAAGATTTGAGGCATGGAGCACAATCAGAAGGCTACTGACATCAATGAGAGCCTGCACCAGGATGGTGGTAGCTTTAGAGGCAAGAAGACTTACTGATATCTTTTACTTGGGGTGGTGAGCGTGAGTAAGGATTGAGGAAGACACAGAGGCTTTGAGCCTTGGTGACTGGAAGGAAGATGGTGGTTTCCTCAATACGGAACAGGTAGTTTCCAATAATAGAAAAGTTTTAAAGAGGAGACAGTTTTGAGGCAAAGGTAGTGAATTCTGTTTTGGGCATGGTGAGTTTGAGATGCCTTCTCACCAGTATGTGATATCCAAGAGGCAGCTGGTAATTCAAGGCTAGAGAGGTTCAGGAGAGAGGTTGGGGCTGGATATATAAACTTGGGAATCATCTGCATAGAGGACATTGAACCCAGGGGAGCCAACGACCTCACCAAGTGAGATAGTATGGAGAGAGAAGAGCAACAGGGCCCAGTTCAAAGCCTTAGTTAGCAGGCATTACCTAGATGAAAATCTGAGACTGAAGAGCAGTCAGACAGGTAGGAGACAAACAAATTATCATGAGAGAGAAATTATCCTAGAGAAGAGGGTCATCGCCAGCTTCGAAGGATGCAGAGAGGTAAAGAAGGATGAGGTTTGGCAACTTAGGAGAGGAAGTTTCAATTGAACGTTAAGTTTGGAAGCCAGTTTAGAACAGAAAACAGAGGGCGGAGAGGCTCAGAACATGGAGCACTTTCTTAAGTTTAGCTGCAAAGGGAAAGAATGACATCAGATGCTATCCAGGGGGGATGATCAGACCAAGTGAGAGAGACATGGAGATGTTTGTAGGCAGTAGGGAAGTGGCCAGAAAATAGGGAAAGACAGAAGATAAGTGAGGGAAGGGATGATTGGGGGGCGGGGGAGGATATGTTAGAGAAGACACATGGAATGAGATCACTATTGCATGGAGAAAGGTTTTTCTTTTGAAAAGAAGATGCACCACCTCTTCAAGTGAGACAGGGTGAAGGAGGAGACAGTGGCAGAAGGCACCTGAGTGACATGAGGTGAGGAGGAAGGGACAACAGGGAGCTGTTCATCAATTTTTTTCCCGAAAAATATGACGCAGGGTTGAAAGAGAGAGAGAGAGAGAGAGAGAGAGACAGAGAGAGAGAGAGAGAGAGAGAGAGAGTCAGTCATGGGAGGTTTGAGGAGAAGTGAAGAGATTTGTGGTTAATGGGAGAGCGAACTGATCAGGGAGGTATAAAAGAATTATCTTGCTGCATTGAGGGCTCTGCTGAGATTATATAAATTGGATCAGTGGAGGAAGCTGGTGACTCAGTGGATAGAGCACTCAGGATAGACTCAGACTAGACCTGAGTTCAAATCCAGCCTCAGACACTTCCTAGCTGTGTGACCTTGGACAAGTCACTTAACCTCTGATTGCCTGATAAAACGCATCCACTGGAGAAGGAAATGGCAAACCACCCTGTCGTATTTGCCAAGAGTACTCCAAATGGGGTCACGAAGAGTCAAACATGACTGAAATGACTGAACAACAAAAATGGCAACAATGGAAGAATAGTTCCCAGAAAAAATGAGATGATAATCCCTCTATGCTGAACCCTGTGCAGGTCACATCTAGAGTGTTAGGGTCAGTTCTGAGTGGCTGCACTTTAGGGAGGACATTGGCACGATGCAGTGCATCCTGAGGAGGGCAACCCGTGCGAGGAGATGCCTGGCTACCTGTCTTAGGAGAACTGTTTGAAAGAAATTGGGGCATTAGGTTGGAGGAAATAAAACTTAATTATTTTCCGGCATTTGAAGAGAATGGCCTTGAGGCCATATGCAGCTCTCTAGGTCCTCAAGTGTGGCCTCAAGCGGCACTTGAGGACCTAGATGGCCGCACTGGCCTTGAGGCCGAAGGTTCCCAAGCCCCTGGACCTGTTGAAAAGGGATCGGGCCTATTCTGGTCGCCTCCAGAAGGCAGGACTATGAACAATCTGGGAATGCTTCAAGGGAGGCAGATTTCAGGTCCATTTAAGGAAAAGCTTCCTGAGGATGAGTTGACCAAAAGGGGAATGGATTGTCTCAGGAGGTAGCGAGCTCTCCGTCACTAAAGGTCTTCAAGCAGGTTCTAGACGACCGTTTGTCAGGTGTGTTATCGAGAGGACTCATTATCTATGTTAAACTGGACATCCTCTGAGATTCCTTCTAATTCTGATAGTAGCTCTGTGATTCTGTGTTATAAGTTCCCTCCCAATTATAACATTCTATGTTCTGAGCTCTCTTTTAGCTCTGACACCTTTAATCCTTTATTTGAAGGTTCCTCCCAGCTCTGATCTTCTGTGGTTCAGAATCCTTGGAATGGGCAATAGACATCCATGTTTCATAGTTCTGGTGCCCAGATTTTTAGTTGTTAAATTTTTGGTCAGGGTCACAGATACGTCCACAGCCTGATGTTTATGACTCAAGCTCTAGGTGCTTTCCCCCTTCCCTGATTCCCCTGCCTCTTTGATGAGAGTCCAGGGAGCCCAGAGAGTTGTAATATGGAATCTGAGCCAGCTTTCTCCCCCTGCCCTCCCTTCCCCCCTATATTTTCATTACTGACTCTGTGGTATGCCAGGGCACTAGGACCCAGATCCTTGCACAATTGCTTAGAATTTAAGATTACAGATTGGGAGAAAGAAGGAACCTTGTGCAACCCTCTTATTTTGCAGAAGTGAAAAATGAAGCTCAGACAGATTACATGATTTGCCCTGTATCTCTCCTCTATAGACTTCCTGGATCTCATTTAGCCTGTGTAACATGCTAATAATAATATGAATAGCTAACATTTATATAGTGTTTGCAAAACACCAAGCCAGTATCAACTCATTTTGTCCTCACAATAACTCTGGGGAATAGGTGATATTATTATACTCCTCTTTTACAGATGAGAAAATGGAGGCAGAGAGTGGTAGAGTGAGTTGCCCAGCTAAGTGTCTGATGTTGTATTTGAACTCAAGTCTCCCTGGTTCCAGGTCTAGCACTGTACCCACTGCACCACCTAGCTGCCTCACTCAGTGCTACTCTTCAATTCCTTTGTGAATCACCACCTTCCCTATCCTCTCTCCCTCTTTCACCTCACCTGGGAGGCGACCTCTCCCACTTCACTTTCTTTTTCTTTTTTTTTTTTAAATTTTGTTAATTTATTTTGATTTATCAACAATCACTTTCATATGCTTTTGAATTTAAAGTTTTTCTCCCCCTTCTTCCCCCCCCACCCTCCCCAAGATGATAGACAATCTGATATAGGCTTTACATTTACATTCCTATTAAACATATATTCACATTAGTGAAGTTATAAGTAAAAATTAAAACCAATAGGAGGAACCACCAGAAAGAGGAAACAAAACTCAACAGAAGAGAAAAAAATGATAGTGATTCAACCTCCACAGTTCTTTCTTTGGATGTGGATAGCATTGTCCATAATGAGGCCTCTGGAGATGTCTTAGATCCTTGTATTGCTGTGAAGGGTTAAGTTTATCAATATTAGTCATCGCACAATGTGGCTGTTATTGTGTACAAAGTTCTCTTGGTTTTGCTCACTTCACTCAGCATCAGACCATACAAGTCTTTCCAGGTTTTTCCGAAGTCAGCCTGTTCATCATTTCTTATAGCACAATAGTATTCCATTACATTCATATACCACAACTTGCTCAGCCATTCCCCAATGGATGGGCATCCTCTCAATTTCCAATTCTTTGCCACCACAGACAGAGCTGCTGTGACTATTTTGTACATGCCCACTTCACTTTCAAACACTAGAAATGAAACTGTCTCATTTCACCCTCAAGAATTCCAGCAGATACCTGAAAGCCCTTGATACCACCTACTCAAGCCTCTTCTTTCTCTGCCAGGATCCTTGGGCTCTATCCAGGCAAAGAGGAGGAAATCTACCAAGCAGAGGAAAGTAGTTTTGTGAGAACAAACTCTGTCTGGTGAGAATTCCCCTTCCACAGGGGCCAGGGATTAGCAACCAGAAGTCATGGGAGTTTCCATTGTTAGGGCACAGGAAAGAGTAGAACCCTTTTGGGGGTCAGGTGCTTTTATTGGGCTTAGCTTGGGGCCTAGGGACAGTGGTTTCTGGCTTGGCCCTTGACAGCTCCTCTGTGTTATCTCCAAGGGCTTTGCCTTCATGTATCCTGCTCCAGCAAGATGGTGCCTTGGTGGGCAGAGGGCATCATCTCCAGAACAACTTCCTTCCTCCTTGGCTTCTTGGGTGGACGATCTGGTCATAGACATCCACTTTGGTGACATCTAGGTCCTGGGGACAAAAAGAGAGGACTGAGACTGAGATTCTTAGAGAGGAAAGAATCTTGGCCGTATCTTGTCTCCATGTCCCCCACAGCTCCCTCAGCTCTCGATACCCCCTCAATGGGCTCATTTCTGTTCTCACAGCCTTGACCTGGGTGATTCTGCCCAACTGGAATGCCCTTCTCTCTCCTACCAACCCTTCCCAAGCCTTTAATTTCATCACAACACTGCCCTGCTCTCCCTAGGAAGTTCATCCTGACTACCCCTGCTCTCAGGGACCACTTCTCTTTCCTGACATGTTCCCTATCCTCCTGGGTGATGTTCACATCCTGCCTTCTCTGGGAACCTGCTCAGACCTCCCCTCCCTTCTCCCAAATCCTAATTCTTGGTGTCCTTCACACACTTCTAGAGCCTACATGACCTGGAGCCTTAATTAACTTTTGATTCAATCATAAACTATCAAGAGTTGGGCTGGACCTTAGAACAGGGAAGTCAGAGCTGGAAGGGCCCTTAGAACAGGGAATGTCATCTGGGAGGGCCCTGAGTTATAGAGAAGCAAATATCAATTCAACCTAAGGAAGAGCTTCCTGCGGGTAGGAGCTGTCCAGCAATGGTACATCATCTTGTCTTCAGAGTGTGAAGAGACGTTTTCCAGTTGAGGCTGGATGCTCTCAGAAGGAGCTGCCAAACTGACTACACCTTCAGAGTCACTCTCAAGTCTGAGATTCATCCCATGAGTCCGAGATCCAGAGAATAAAGAGAACTGCTCAGAGTCCCACAGCCAGCAAGTTGTGCCAAGAGGCAAGCTCTGCCTCTTCTTTCCCATGGGACCTTAGACACATCACTCAACTCACTGGGCCCCAGTTTTCTCATCCATAAAAGAAGGAGGTTGGACAAGATGATCTCTGAGGTTCCTCCTGGCTCTCAGGGTAATCCTTTTAGTTTTGGAGTGAGGATTGGAAAGCAGGTTTTCCAACTTCAAGTCCTCTTGGGTAAGATCATCCACCATTAGGATGATAATATCAAGAGGGAACTGGCTAAAGCCGAAGCACCCCTCTCTCCTGGGGTCCAGGTGTTTCTTCAATTTGTCCCTGTACCTACCTGGTAAGCTTTCTCAGATGGGGTTGAGGGGGAGGCTGAGGCAAAACTCTGGTCCTGTAGAGAGGAATAGGAATTAGCTATGCCTCCTTCAGTCCCATATTCCCCCAACCCAAAGAAAGCTCCCAGTGCCCTTCAAGAAACCAATCAACCAATCCACAAGCATTTATTAAGTATCTGCTATGTGCTAGGCAGGTGCCAGGTACTGGGCACACAAAGACAACAGTGAAAGAATCCATGTCATCATGGAGTTTACATTCTACTTGGATTAAAAAAACAAACTTGCACATATACAGATATACATAACACATATATGAAATACGTACAAGGTGACTTGGGGGGATATTAAGTTCCTTCCATTCTATAAGAGGGCTCTCCCTCATCAACACCCCAAGTTAGGTTTGAGGGGAGCCCAGAGCAGGCCTAGGTTTCCTCCCTCTAGAGAGATAGAACAGGGGCAGGGAAGGGAGAGGTCCACAGACAGAGAAAAGCACGAGGGGAGACAAAGCCCAAAGGTGATGCTCCTACCTGAGTGGTCGCTATTCCACCTCCAGCTTGGGGATTATTTTCATATGTGTGCAGAACTGCGGGCTGTGATTGATTCTCATATGTGTGCAGAACTAGGGACTTGGAATCATTTTCATATGTGTGAAAAACCTTTTCTGCAGAAATCAGAGAACAGGGAATAATGATGATCATGGTGATGATGATGATGATGGTGAGATGATGATGATGATGATGATGGTGATGCTATTCAGTTGTTTCAGTCATGTCTGACTCTTTGGGACCCCATTTAAGGTTTCCTTGGCAAGCGTTTTGCCACTTACTTTTCCAGCTTATTTGACAGATGAGGAAACTGAGAAAAGTAGGTTTGTGGTTGTTGTCTTTCATTCTCGAAGAGGACCAAAATAACATCACCATGTTGGGGTCAAGGTACAATGTATCCATCTGTGGCTGATCAGTCTAATACAAGCTCAGAAGGCTCTACCACAAGTTGGGCACAAATAGTCCACTCAGCAGTGAGGATGTCTCTAAATTTGTGCATCTCATATTTCTTCTGACTACTACCATTCCTCTTCACTCATAGAGAACAGTGCCTTCTTTGATTACGGGCATGCCATGCTGGGTGGTCCTTTGTCAGTGTCTCCCAAGTCACAAATTAATTTCAAAGTTCCTCAGAACTTTAACAGGGTTAAATGACTTGCCCAGGGTCACACAGCTAGAGTCTGATGCCAGATTTGAACTAGGGAAATAAGCCTTCCTGTCTCTAGGCCCAGTGCTCTATCCACTGCGCCACCTAGCTGTCATCACCATCACCACCATTATCATCACCATCATCATCACTATCATCATCACCATCATCATCATCATCATCACCACCATCATCATCATCTTCACCATCACCACCATCATCATCATCCTCTTCTTCACATCACCATCAACATCATCATCACCATCACCACCATCATCATCATCTTCACCATCACCACCATCATCATCATCCTCTTCTTCACCATCTCCATCAACATCACCATCACCATCACCATCACCATCACCATCACCATCATTTATATAGTGCTTTAAGTTTTGCAAAGCATTTTGCAGATATTATCTCATTTGATTCTTACAATAGCCTTGGGAAATAAGTGCTATTGCCTATATTTTACAGATGAGGAAACTGAGGCAGATAGAGAAGAAGTGACTTGTTCAGAGTCATGTAGCTAATATGTATGTGTCTAGATTTGAACTTAGGTTTTCTTGATTCCAAGTCCAGCACTTTATCCACTGTACCAAGCTGGGGGGATCTTAGAATGTGGAATGTCAGATCTTGGAGAGGCCTTAGAACAAGAATGTCAAGGCTTTGGGAAATCTTAGAGGTTATCTAAACTAGTCTTCTCATCCTGGTGTAAAGGAAAGAGCCTTGGTCCTAGATTTGAGTCTTTCCTTTCCAACTTACTAGTTTTCTGATGGTTTCCTTATCTGTACAATAAGAATTAAGATGGGTCAGGTTGACCAGCACTCCACCCCAAACTTCCTCTTTAGGCATGATTTATTAGGAACCGGCACCCCGATGCAAGCTCAGCTGTACCCACAACTGACCCAGTATACTCTCTGTGTGGAATCACTTTGCCCTAACCCTTCTCCAAGACAAATGTTCACTGTAGTGCTCTCAGGTATACCTTACCTTAGCATACAATGACGCTAGGAGGGCAAGAGCTGTAACAGCCCCTACCACACCCATGTCCATCACTGAACTTGCTTCATCCTCTAGAACTCCCCTATCTCTGGCTGGCTTCCATCCACCACCTTGTCACATACAATAGCAACTTTCCTAGCTCTGACACCCCAGTGTCCCTCCCACCAGAACTACTTACTAGTAGTCACGTAATATTTTTGAAAATGAGTGACCTCAATTCAATTTCATTCGATTCAACAAATACTAAGCAGCCTACTGTTTTGCAAGTATGCAAGGAGCTGGGGATAAAAAAAAAACACAAACAAGCTAAGTTCTGGAGGAATTTTTTTTAAAAAAGAAATTAATACTATGCAGAAACATTAGAATCATGGAAATCTAAGGATGTCTCTTAGGTACTAAGTGACAAGAGTCTCTGGAGTCAGGATGCCTGGGTTCAGTCCCAAACCTGCCCTCAGGGAATTTACATTCTGCTAGAATAGTGAGGTCTGGGGAGGGAGCCTTCCCTCACAAATATCAACTCCAGGATCTTTCTGCCCTTCTAGCTCTGTGGCCTCCCAATTTCCTGACACAGTGATCACATATGTTCTGCTCAGCTTTAAAACTTATGATTCTAAGACCCAAAGAGGGGACCTGGCTTTCCGATAGCTGCAGAGTTGGTCATGAATAGGGCTGGGGCTAGAACATAGGCCTCCTGGCTCCTAATCCTGGGCTATTTTACTATAAGAAGGGGTTTGTATTTGCCACAGCGTGGGAGTGCAGAAAAGGAGCATTATGAAATGGTCTTGAGAAGATCTGAAGGAGTGGTAGAATTACTAACTGCTGAGCCGGTCCTGTCAGATTCTAAACCCATAACTGCTTCCCTTCTCCCCCCTCCCCCATCCTTTTACCTATTCTCTGAGCAATGGTTGGCAGAATTGAGGTGGAGGACATAATCAGGAGAAGCAAAAGTATCTCATTCACCTTTTTCTTTTTTTGAAAAATAAAACAGTGTGGATTTACTGCATGACCATAATGTAAATTGCTTATGACATGATATGAAATATAGAGTGATTGAAGGGAATCTCACAGAATGGGGAAAGTCAGGATCATGGCACTGGTGGAGAGGACCTGGGGGGCCGTCTAATCCCACCCCCTTATTCTATAGGTGAGGAGCTGAGGCCCAAGGACATTAAGTGACTGACCTGAGGTCACACAAATAGTGATCGTCACAGATGGGACTGGGATCTGGGGACCCCAGGGACTTTCATCACTAAGTGACAAAAAGACATCCATTTATTTCCATGATTCTAATGTTTCTGCATAATATTAATTTCCTTTTTAAAAAAAAATCCTCCAGAAGCTAGGATCTAGCTAGCAGCAATGCTCTAGGCGCCCTAGATAGTGGTGGGAGGAGGAGAAGTGTAAAAATTGGGAGGCTGGTAAACATGGGAGATAGAGCCTCCCTTGGGAAAGCAAGCCCACTATCTTTTCTGAGCAAACCACTTGGCCGGTAGCCTGAAGATAGCACCACCTGGTGTCTAAATGATAGATTATACTCCTTGCTGGTTGGTAAAGTGACAGCCGGCTTTTCAGTAGGGGGTAGAAAATAGGTCAAGGAATCAGGGGTGTGGGCTGCTTCTGCTTCTCCATGATCACCCAGTGTACACCTTGACAATATCATCTGCATCATAGCAGGAAGGAGCCTCTGAGATCTAATCCATCTCCCTCATTTCATAGAGGAAGAGGCTGAGGTCCACAGTGGGAAGGCACTTGCTAGTAAGTAGCAGGACTGGGTGAGTGAATTCTAAATCTCTTCTACATCAGCATCATCATCACTGATGTTTATTCAGCATTTTAAAGTTGGTAGAGCAAACTTTACATATATTACTTCATTTAAGCTTCACAACAACCTTACAAAGTAGGTCCTAAGGGTATCATTATCTTCATTTTGCAGATGGGGAAACTGAGGCACAGGGCAGTTAAGTGACTTGCCCGTAGTCACACAGCAAGTGTCAGAAGTGATATTTGAACCTGATTCTTCCTGACTCAAAGTCATGCAGTTTCACTAAAGGACCTTAGAGATGATTTAGATCAATCCCCTTATTTTGAAGAGATGTAAACTAAGTCTACACACTAGGGATACACACAATACAGAAGAGAAATCTTGCTTTGTGTTCTGTCTCTCTGTCTCTTTCTGCCTCCTTTTGTGTCCCTGTCTTCTTCTCCATCTCTCTCTGTCTTCCTCTCTTTCTCTCTCTTCTTTCCCCACCCTTCACCCGCTCCATAGTGGATCAACAACATAAGGGGCCAGTCTAAAATAACAATCTAGAGGTTCTGCTTTAGAGGAGGAAAAAAGGTTCCCTCCTTTCCTAACCACCAGGACTCTGTCTTGCAGCTGCTTCCTTCCTGCTCCCATGGCTCAGTTGCTTTGACTTCCTTTACTACGGTTAGCAATACTCACTTTGGATCCTGACTGCATGACTCTCCTCACCTGGTTGTACAGCTTCCAGCTGTTTCTGTGAAGCCCTGAAAGGGAAGAGTAGGGAAAATCCCTGAGTTAGTGACTTTTTAGGACTGGTTCATCCTGGGGATCATCAGAAGGAGGTTCTAGAGACCATGTCCCAAAGGAGGCCCCAACCTCCTTCCTTTCCACATGGGGACATGAAGGCTCAGAGAGGGGAAAGACGGTGGTGCTCATGGCCACACAGCTCGTAAGTGGTTGGCTCTCCAAGTCTAGAGCTCATTCCACATTGCCTCAAAGTAGGAGCCAATCTTAAGATGTTGGGTTGCCCATATTCACAGGCATCACAGGAAGGATGTGGGCAAGGGATTGTTGGTAAATGTTTAACTACTGGCTCTGAAAACAAATGCATGCAGGACACATTTCTAAAGTTTGATTTCCATTATTATTAAGATTTTATCCATCTATTTCTTTTTTTTTTACATCCATCTATTTCTTAAGTCTAAGACAATCAACAGTCAACAGCGCAAGAAATCAAGCCCTGGTTGGCATTTGCCAATTTCCAACGCGTAAATTCTGAAGCTGAAAATTTAACAATCAGCTCTGTAGCCGGTAGAAATGGCTCCAGCACGTCACAGCAACATTTGGGGGATTTGTTTTTGCCTTAGATACAGAAGCACCTGTGGAGAGTTAGACACAGAAACATCTTCGTAGAGTTAGATACGAGGTTAGATACTGAAGTATCTGAGTTCCTGGATGACTGTTCTCCGTGTACCTCCCAGATCTGCTGCTTGTTCGAGCTCTGTTACTTCTAACCTCTGATGCTCCTCACTCCTGGGATTCTTGACCTCTGATAAGTATGAACTGCTTGCTCCCCTGCTTCAGAACCATTTGAGCGACCATTACTTCATCCTGCTTGCTTCTCTGCACCACAGACCACCCAGCCATCTCTCTGCCCTTCAGTTCTGTCGCTCTCGGATCCTGTTGCTTCCCCTGGACACAGACCCCACTTGCCATTTACATGCTTTATGACTATGGTCTGCTGTCAGGTTATCACCCCATAGCCCTCCCTACCATGATGTGGCCCACCATGACAATGTGGTACCAGTCTTTCCAAGATCGCTATGTTCTCACCACTACCAGCTTTCCTCTCCATGATGTACTCTACCAGAGGGACCAACATTGTTTCTGCTGATGTTAGGGCCTCTACCCTAACCTGTCTTTGCAGTGGCCAGTCCTCCCTTGGTGGTAGGGTCAGGGGTGATGACTGACCACACCCTTGGTTGGTGATCTGCTGCTAAACAGGTAAGCAATAGAGGAAACATGGTTACCTTTGGATATTCCTAATAAACAGAATACAGCCCACACCCTCAGCTATCACCAGTCCAGCCAGGACAGCAGTCACAATGAGGAAGATGAGGTTGACTTCCCTAGATGGTGAGGGTCCAGAAGAATCCTGAGAATCTGTATGGAGAGGAAGGAAGGTCAGGTCTTTTTCATCTACCTTGTTGGGATTCATGGGATCACTGATGATGGAATGTCCTGGCTAGAAGGGACCTCAGAGATGATCTTTTCCAATAATCCTATTTTATAGATGGGAAAACTGATGATCAGAAAAGGGAAGGGATTCTTTCAAGGTCCCACAGGTAGAAAAGAGCAAAGCTGGGTCATCTCTATGCTCTGAAGAGCTGTTTAATGAAGGATATTGGGAATCAGAGAATGTTAGAGCTGGGAGGGGCCTCAGGGGCCAGAGTCCAAACACCTCATTTTCTAGTCAGCCAATCAATAAACTTTTTATTAAGCACCTGCTGTGTGCTCTGCCCTGTGCTAAGCACTGGGTATAAAAAAGAAAAGCAAAACATTCTTGTGCTCAAGGAACTCATAATCCAATGGAGAAAATGGAGCCTCATGGAGGTTAAAGACTTGTCCAAAGTCCCAAGACCATGGACTTAAAGCTGGAAGGGACTTTAGAGGCCATTAGTCTAACCTCCTCACTTTACAGTTGGAGAAACTGAGGCCCAGGGAAGTGAAATGATTTGCCCCAAATCTCACAGATTCAAACCCCACATCCTGGGCTCTTTCTACTATATAATGTTGACCTTGGTGCCCATCATCCACTTCCCTGTCAGTGGAAGGTGTCAGATTCAGGTCCTAGAGAACATCCATCCCACTTGCTACTCAGCCCTCCCTAAGGAGTTTCTGAAGACTCACCTACCACTCTAAGGATGATCTTAGCTGAGCTGGAGGCTTGGGCCTGCTTGTAGTGAGAGGAGCATGTCCTGGTGGGCCCAGGACACATTGTGTAGGGTGAGCTGATCCCCTGTGTGGTCCAGACTGCTGCCGTTGAAAGTCCAGTGATAAGAGGTCACTGGGTGGGACTTGGTTATGCAGTGGAAGGTCACGGTGGACTTAATTTTGAGCTCAATGGTACTGTCTTGGTTATAGTCAGACTCAAGAGTGAGCGTAAGTTTTGTATGTTCACCTGTGTAGACAAAAAGAGATAATCATAAAAATATGAAAACCTAGTTCTGCTCATGTTTTCCCAGCTGGCCACAGGCATGGTCAGAACTCTTCTATCTATAACTAACTTTTATCTGACACTGCTGTTCTATCAAGCTACTCTCCTCTATCTTTCCTCTTTGGAGCTCAATTCCAAAACCAGCCACGTGCTAATATTTAGCACATTTATGTGACTGACTCCCATTCTCCTACCACAGTCTCCTGATGACATCTTTGACTCCTATTCTTCTTAGCCTTTTTCTTAACGCATGTGGCAGCTTGTTCATATCCACCACACACCTATTTATGGCCCTTAGTGTGAAGCTCACCTTTAGCTCTTCTGAGACAGCTGTGTTCCAGGTCTTCATGGCATATAGCGATACTAGTAAACTGTTATTATGGAAAAGATGGGTCTTTGCTTTGGGATTGGGGATCTGGCACATTTTCAGAGCTCCTGGGATGATATCCTTCCACATAAAGAAGCTTAGGAACTTCCTTCAGAAAGAATCATGATGATGCATATGGTAGGTTCCTTATAGAGTGAAATGGAGAATGTGTGAACAGTCTTCAACTGGTTCCTGTTGGGGAACCATGTGTGTAAGAGAAGTCTGTTTGTTTGGTTGTGATGTGGGGGAGATTATGCCCTTAAGGTAAGGCAAGAAATGTCTAAACTTGTTCTTGTGATATCTTTGAAGTAAATATCTCCTTGCAATAGCTAACTGATGTTAAACAGTCAAATAGAACTGGGGTGCTCCCACCTGGCCCCTAACAACAGAGGAGGGAAGAACACAGTCAGTAGGGACTTGAGCCAATAGCAGCAGAGAAGAGATCCATAAAATTCAGGGTGTCCTAGAATCTCAAGGGAGAGTAACCTGCCTGGCTCCCAGTGAGGCAGGACATGCTACACTTTCTTGAGAATTTGGGGTCAATTAAAGAGCTTTGTATTTGTCCCAAACCAATCAATCCTGATCTCCTTTTCAGCTTAGGGCACGGCTCACTGTCCATCTGTATTGTTTGTTTCACATGTACATTTTGTCGAATGAGCTCTGTAGTGTGTCTATCCATGTGTATGTTGAAATATAAGCAATAGACATTCTTCAGCCATTGGCTTTTTCCTGTGTGTGTGGACAGGCCAAACTCTGTTGAGTAATCATTCTCTTCTAGGAGGTTTTGCAATGTCTTGCAGCTTAATGTAACCATCTCAGTGCCAGCTGCAAACAGGAGAATCAGGAGAACTTCACCATCCATAGAAAATCCCTCCTCAACCCGTGTCTCCATCATGGTGCTGAGTACTTTGAATGAGCATAAGGTTCCCTCTTCATTTATCACTTGATATTCACTATCACAGGGTCATTATACAGGGTAACTTCTGTTGCTCTATCTTCTAAGGAGTCTGGAATGATCATGACATATTGGTAGGAGACACTTAGCTGTGAGAGACTGAGGTGGTGTTTTGTTCTACAGAGTTGAATGTTTTTTCATAATCAATAAACAATTACAATGAGATTGACTAGTCTCTACATCTTTCATCTTAATTGTGAGATGTTAAAGATGTAGTCTGTAACTGACTGTTGCTCATGAAAACCTACTTGTTCCCTACTAATGCACTTACTGAATATGACTTTGATTCACGTATAGATGACAATCACAAATTTTTCATCTTGATGGGAGAGTAGGAATATAAGTTGTTGGTTATTGGTGTTCTTTTTTCCTTTTTAGTGCTAATAAGGTGTGAGATTCCCCCCCCCAGGCCTTTAGTATCTTTCCTTCTTTCAAATACCTTGTATATTGGCCCCTCAATGCTCTAACGGTTTTGTGTTGCTTCCGGCATAGACCTCCTTTATGTACACATGGTCTAATCCCACTGCTTTCCCCACCTTTGTTCTATTTAATGCCATTTCCCTCAGTCTGTGATGTCAGGGTCCAAGTGTGATGGTTCCATTTTACTTGATGGAGAAAACAACTCACTATAATGACTTTTGAAAATATTTTCAAATTTTCTCCTGTACATAGTCCTTCCATTTTTATCCTTGGATACCCTGGGATCTCTCAGAAAACTTTCTTTATATTGGTTTTACCTTTTATTGCTTCTCCACTTTACATACTGAAAATGCTCATGATCGTGCAGCATTCTTCTTCACAAGATTTCAAAAACAATTTTATATTCCAGCCTCTGGCAATCATCTCTCTCCATTTGGCAAGTAGGTAGGATGTTTGTTGGCTAAACTGCTTACTGGGATCCTTTGGGGTTTTTTGTTGTGGTGACTAATTCACATTGGTTAAACTTCTGGATAAAAAAACCATTATTGTCATTAATGTCATTTATGTTGTCTATGTCCCATATTTGATTGCTAATTATTTGTTTAAATAACTTGGAGGTTAAGTTATTTCAACTGATCTTTTTCTATTTTTCACATTTTTTATCTTCATCATCTTCACCACCATCACAACCACCATCACCACCACCAACCACCACCACCACCACCACCACCACCACCATCATCATCATCATCACCATCATCATCATCACCACCATCATCTTCTTCATCTTCTTCCTCCTCCTCATGCTCCTTGTCCTTTTCTTTTTCTTTTACAAGCTCTGATTTTCACTCTGATGATTTAGTTGCCTGACAGTGCACAGACAACCGATGCAGGGATGATTTTCACATTAATGCCATGTATTTTCCCGTCTGTTATATTATTATCTTTAAATGCAGTTAATTAATAGACATTACCTATTTTTGCCAGGAGTGAAAATTTAAATTTTCAAATGATTTTTGGGGAGTAAATTTGTAGGATTTATACTTGTGAAGTTATTAAGGCTTAAAAATTGCACTAAGACTTTGAGGACAACCTGTATGTTACTTTAATGTTGACAGTCTTATTAAATTCTTCATGGGATCTCTCTACCATGTCATCCTTACTGTATAATCTGAGATTATTTTCATGACAGGCTTTTTGCAAATGCCTATTACATTTAGTACTCTAGTGATCAAATGTCCCATGAAATAATGTTTCTTGTCATTTAGAGTATGGTGAAACCCATTCTGACAACACCTTTCTTTGCCTCTTTGATTGGTACCTGTGAGCCATCCTTCCATTCAGTTACATCCTCTTTCTTCCTTCTGGTTTCATTTATATTGAGAATGTCAAGGTTGATAATATTCAACTGCTCCAGAAATCTACTTGTTGGACACTAGACAAGAATTTCCCATCTAGAGCATCAAAATAATGTTTCTGATTTTTGAAACATTTGATAGTGTAAAGACTTTTCTTTTCTGGGTCTTCAGCAGCCACGGCTGCAGCCTTTGCAGGGGCAGTGGCCAGGCCGCATTTCCACAGGGGCTGCTTCCCAGGCTGGTGACTGAGGATACTGGGCTTGAAGCATTGCCATTCCCAAGGCTCTTGGGCTCAGGGTCTTGGGCTGTCTCCGTGAGGATCTGAGGGAGAGATGGTGGTCAAGGTGGTGGTGCTGGTCTCTCTTGCTTGGAATGTGCTTCCTTCCCCTCTCCTTCAGGGACTGTTAGTTATTACTTTAGCTAGTCTGCCTTGCCTGCCCTGAATACGGCAGTTGGTGAGGATGGCTGGCCTCTTCTCCACAGGAGTTTTTCCCATGGATGATAGCTCTGAGGGCTGAGATAGAAGCAGGGCTCGTGTTTTGGGAGATAGTGTTATTCCTTGGGCTTCTATGCCTCTCTTACTATGAAATAAGCCTGGATAGCTTGTGAAGGGCTTAAAATTTCAGGCTGAAGAGTTTTTTTTTTATCTATGAGGCAATAGGAGCCATTTAAAATTTTGAAGAAAGTGAAGGTGCAACGACAATTGGACCTGTATTTCAAGCATATGAATTTGGCAGCTATATAGAGAATGGAAACTCAAACATGGGAAGTGGAGAAAAGAAATGACATGATCTCAGACCATAATAATTTCATCGAGAAGCTAAACCAATGGAAATAAATCACTACAACAAGGAGACTGAAAGAACTCAGAAAGCTTCTAGTCAACATTTTGTTTACTCATCAAAGCTAATGGATCCACCATGCTTGGACCCTAACATCACAGTGGCTGAGGTGCTTTACAGAAGATATAGAAATGGCAAGACAGGGAACATGGATGAGGAAAAGTGGATATGATACAATTGTGAGGACATTGAGGAGGGACCAACTTAGAAGGTATCCAAGGGAGAGGGAAATACTAAATGCATGGAAAAAACTCAGACCTTATTGATTTTAAACAATACAACAGAGAAAATGCGCAAAACTGACTGACTTATACTCCTACATTCCTGTCAACACAACGTCTTTATAGGGGTCACCTATGCCAGAACTGAAAACATCCCCAAGGAGAAGAAGCAACTTTTTTGCAAATAATATTTGCAAATGGACCTTGCTATCTCACAACTGACTGAAAGAGGTAATGATAGCTAATAATGACATAGCACCTGCTATGTACCAACCAGGCTCTGGGCTAAGTACTTTATAAAGATTATCTCCTTTGATCCTCATAACGACCTTGGGAAATGGGTGTCATTATTGTCCCCATTTTACTGATGAGGAAACTAAGGCAAACAGAGGTGAAGTGACTTGCCCAGGGTCACACAGCTAGTAAGTATCTAAGGTTAGATTTGAACTCAGGTCTCTCTGATTCTGTCTCCAGTTCTCTATCCACCATTGCTACCTAGTGGCCAGAGAGTATAAGGCCGCTGTACTTGTTTGCAGATGGTAGCAAAATATTTGACTCCATAGGAGAAAATGCTGCCTTAGAAGTTCCTTTATAAGAAGGTGTGTCCCCTCCCATCCATGCATCAAACTCTCCCATGATTCATTGGAAGATATTAGCAACGGAAAAGCTGGAGTATGAGGAGGGAATATAGATTTCTCTGCTCTCATTTCTAAGGTTCCTTCAAACTCCAACCTTCTATGTTCTAAGGTTTCCTCTAGCTCTGATAGTTTGTGTCCTAAGGTCCTTTCTAATTCTGACATCCTGTGGCTTAAGGTTCTTCCTAGCCCTGACATTCTATATTGCAAAGTCCCCTCCCCATATGACAGTCTTTGAGTTGATGAACTAGGTCAATAGAGGATTTTGGATAAAGTTGAGTGTGGGCCCAGGGTGGCTACGACAAGCTTGGAGAGATGTGTGATGGTAGGCTAAGGGGAACAGATGGGGCCCTCGAAGGAAACAGGAAAGGAGGCTTGTAAAACCTGGGGCTTTTGTCCCTCCTTCCTCACTCCCAGCTCTTTCTTTTTCTCTTTCTGACTTTCATCAATGGTGGCTTGGTATGCCCTTGGGTGCATGAGGTCCCACCCAATTTGGGCTTGGCAGTTCTTGGGAGCAGTGTCTGGTAGCTTCAGCCTTCAGAAGGACAGATTGGGCATCATCTCCTATAACTGAACCCATATCCCCTCTGCTCAAACTGCAGCCCTCCCTCTGTATTCTCCCCCCTCTCCTCATCTTTCCTTTTCACTGCAACCCCCCTCCAAACAGGCTGTTCTCCACATGTGAAACATACTCCTTCTTCATCTCTGCCTCCTAGTTGCCTCCAGACCTCAGCCAAAGCCCCACTTCTGCCAGAAGCCTTCCCCAGACCTTACCCTGAGGGCCTTCCTTCTGGGGTTATCTCCAGGCCAGTCTGGTTTGTCCCTGGTTGGTGGTATGGAGGTGCTCCTTGAGGGCAGATACTGGCTTTGCGCCTTTCTCGGTATTCTCAATGCTTAGCTCAGTGCCTGGCCTCTGCTAGGCACTGAACAACTGCTTGTTGACTTGACTTGACCCGGCTACTTCCCAGCACTACCTTTTTTGCTCACAAAGTTCCCTTGGGCCCTCTCAGTGTTGTTCCCAGGCTTCCCAACGTTCGAAGGCTGGTTCGTGTCCGGGGAAGGGTTCCAGGGAATTCTTCTTGACCACAGGGCTTTCCCCTGAGAGACTATTGCCCTCATCAGTAAGTACCATGCAATCTGGAATGGCTCTTTGTATTGTGGTGGCTTTGTTTGAGAATGATGGTTTAAAGTTAGGAGATTTAAGAGCTGGAAGGGAAGTTGTCCTCCCAGGGAAGACATCCTCTAAGGTCTCAACCAATTCCAGATCTGCCTGTAATCCTATGAACTTAGAACATGGGATGTCAGAGCTTGGAGGACCCTTAGAATGTGGAATGCCAGAGCTAGGAGGGCTTTAATGCAAAGACTATGAGACCTGGAAGAGATGTCAGACTTGAGTGGGATCATTTAGCAAACAATGTCAGAGTTGGGAGGTCTCTGAAAGGCTTATCACCTTCTTTAGCAAATGGGGAAATTGAGGCTGAGAGAAGGGAAGGTCAGGCCATGTGATATATTTGTGGCATGGCTGGGCCTAGGCTCTGGGGTGTCCTGGGTTCCAAGGGCTCCTTCCTCTGCCTCTCTCATCACACCAAAAAGAAATGGGGCTTACCATGTACTCGGATGTATCTCTCACCCAAAAAATTTATTCCTGCCAGGGTGTGGACTTCAACGATGTAGAGGCCAGAATCTCTGGACGAAAGGTTTTTCAGGGTCAGGGAGCCATTCCGGTGCATAATGATGTGGTCCGGGTTCTCCTTCCTATTGAGTTCCATTAATCTGTCTCCAGGCCTGATTATACTGAACTGGTCAGTGCTGTTCCTGCTCCCCCGGAACCATCTGAACAAAAGGACATATTTCTGGACACTGTGCACCAACAGCATGATGTTGCCGCCGACCGTGGCCCTCTCAGGGACTGGGGTGATAGCCACCTGGGCCCAGATAGTGGTACCCCAGGAGCTCAGAATGGAGGCTGAGAGGAGAGGGAAGGGGTATTAGGGACAGACATCCATCTGTGCCCAGATCCAAGACCCTTCCCTTCAATAATCCTGAGAGCTGGCTTCTTAATTAACCCCTCTTTCTGAAACCTTAGTCTCTTTTGAAGCTTCCTAGAATACCAGTGTGCTACGGGTCATTAGAATGAAAAGCTGAGAATGTTATAAGTAGAAGAGAAATGAGCAACTAATGATTAAATACACTAATGATTAGTGTGTAGAAATCAGACCTGGGTGAGACCTTAGAAAAAGGAGTGTCAGGGCTGGGAGGGGCTTAGAACAGGGAATGTCAGAAACAGGTTAAGCTTTAGAATATAAAACAGAGAATGTCAGAGCTGGGAGGGGCCTTAGAATAGGGAATGTCAGAAATAGGACAAACTTGAGAATATAGAACAGAGAATGTCAGAGCTGGGAGGGGCTTTGGAGTAGAGGATGTCAGACCTGGGAGAGACTTTACGCTACAGAATGTCAGAGCTGGGAGAGGCCTTAGAATAGGGAATGTCAGAAATAGGACAAACTTGAGAACATAGAACAGAGAATGTCAGAGCTGGGAGGGGATCTTAGGTCATAGAACATAGGATGTCAGAGTTTGAAAGGATCTTGGAACACAAAAAGAATTTTAACATGAGAAGGAGACTTCAGTCCAAACTTCTCCTTTTCCAGATAGGCAGACCTGCAGCCCAGTCTGAGCTGGGCTGGGACAGGCAAATGGGGTGTTTTCCAAGAAGTCAGAATTTAGTGGGAGCTAAGAGCACCGATGCTTTGCCTACTGGTCTTGGCCACTTTGGTAGCAAGCTTAGTTCAGAGAGGAAGCTACCAGGTAGAGCCTCTCACCAATGGCTCCTTAGCTCAGGCCATGCTCCTTCTCCCACTGTGGATCTGAAAGCTTTTGCCAAGATTCTTCCCCCTCCCCACAATTAATTTTCTTTAGTGACTTGGTTATGAAGCCGCCTTTTGTCCTCTTTCCCTGGCTTGTATTCTGGTGCCTTCCCCAGAGCCAGGGCTGCTAGGCAGGTCTGCAGGCTCAGAGAGCCAAGGACAGGGCCAAGATTCATATTGGAGACTTGGACTTCTTCCTGTCTTTCCTCCCTTCCCCTCTCCCCGACCCAGAGTTCTGCGTTCCATTTCACCTGTGAAAAGAAACCACCTTCCAGGAGCCATGTGGACAGAGCTGCCAGCTCAGGAGAAATGCCATCCAGTTTGGGGGTGGGTTTCTGGCTCCTCAAAGTCTCCTCTTCCTGGGGAGTCTCATATGCACACCTCCTTCAGAGAGTGCCTGTCTCGGGGTGTGTGTGTGTGTGTGTGTGTGTGTGTGTGTGTGTGTGTGTGTGTAGCAAGATCTCTGGGCATTGTTGTAATAGCCATTTCTATTTCCTGACAGAGCTCTCTCCAATCATTACTCCACCCATTCAATGACCCTTTTCTGGGGGAGGAAGCCTGGGGCAGGAGAAGGACTCCCTGGTCCAAGACTGGGCTCTAGTGAGACCTGAGGAAAGTTCCTCAAAGCCAAAATGAATTCAAATTCCAGCTCACTCACTTCTCATGTGACTTTGGGCAAATAATTTCCTATCTCTGGACCTCAGTTTCCCTATACACAAAATGCCTTTGCTTTTCTGACAGCTGCCATGACAGCTCTGGGCATGTGGGGGACACTAGGTCCTGTGAGCCCTGCTGGCAGTCTTGACAACAGGTCACTGTGGGCTCGGTACAGGACTCTTACATCTAAAACAGACTGAGAAGGGGGCAGGCAGGGAGACATAGAGAAAGAGGGAGGAGGAAGGGAAGACAAAGGGAGATAGAGAGAGGGGGAGAGAAAGATGGGAGAGGTAGAGAGAGGGGGAGAACAGGAGAGGAAAGGAGGGAAAGAAGAATAGGTGGTGGAGAAAGGAAAGAGCTGAAGACAGAAGGGGAAAGAAAGAGACAGAGAAAGAGATCAGAAGGAGAGAGAGAGAGAGAAAAAGAATGAAAGGGAGAGGGAGAGGGAGAGAGAGAGAGAGAGAGAGAGAGAGAGAGAGAGAGAGAGAGAGAGAGAGAGAGAGAGAGATGATGATGATGATGATGGAAAAGAGGGAGAGGGAGAGGAAGAAGACAGATAGGAAGAGGCCAAGACAGGGGTGAGAAAGCAGTGGAAGAAATGTGTGGTTGAGAAACTGTTAAAGAGACCAGACTCTGAGTGTCCTCCAAGAGTCCTCAGGCCTCACATTCTGTGCAAGTTGTAATGGATCTCAGAGCCCACAGGTCTGGGACTCTCTTCCTTAGTGGTGGAGATAATGCCCTGAGCCTTCTGGGGGTGGGGACCTGGTGGATTTGTTGAGAGCAGGAGAGGAGACATTCAGGCGCTTTCTGCCATGAGGGATCTCACTCACTGGATCTATCAGCACCTTTGGGTGGTAGATTCACTGTCTTTCCACATCCTTAGGCACTTCATCTGCTGTTGGCTGCCAGTGTTCTGGTGGCCACTGATGTTAGCTGTGGTTACTGGGGGGACCTTTGATGAGATACCAGGATCTTTCAAAGTCATACAGTCACGTGAGTGGGAAGAGAAGAAGAAGAAGAAGAAGAAGAAGAAGAAGAAGAAGAAGAAGAAGAAGAAGAAGAAGAAGAAGAAGAACAAGAAGAAGAAGAAGAAGGAGAAGGAGAAGAAGAAGAAGAGGATGAGGAGGAGGAGGAGGGAGAGAGACAGAGAGACAGAGAAAGAGAAAGAGACAGAGACAGAGAAAGACAGAAAGAGAGGAGAGAGAAAAGAGAGAGAGAAACTTTCTCTTGACCCCAAGAGATTCCCTGGCTTCCTGTTTCAAATATAGACACAGAGATTGTACCTGATTCTAATCCTTCCACAGATCTGTGATCTTATTACTGTTCAAATTACCTCCACCAATGCCCAAGCACTGGGCCTGGGCGATCAGGAATTTGTCTCTGGATGCCAAATTTACAGAAGCTGAGTGTAATACAATCCTGTACCAATGGAGAAATAAAAGAGATCATGGTTCAATGGGATATAGAGTGAGAGGCAGGTGGGGTTTTGGAGCAGTATGAGTGAGAAGGCTCTAGGGCATGAAGTAGCATGACCCTCTCCTCTTCCCCCCCCCCCCCCCCGCCCCCTCCATGGAAAGGGATGTAGGTAACTCGTATTCTACTATTCTTTAGTAGTTCTTTCAGGAAATTGTCTGCTAGTATGTTTCCCATTTATACAAAGCAATCATAATGACACCATTACTCCCAAAACAGAAAACATTTACTACAAAAGAAGGCAAAAATAATAATTATCATAACATTTACTCAATAGGAGGAAAAAGCCAGAATAACCAAACCACATCTATCCACCCATAAACTCGAGTCATACTTTCCCACCAATGAATATGACACAATGCATGCAATATTAGAGGGGGCACACCATTATAGTAATAGTGCTTATTACTGAGGCACTATTGGGGATGGGACACCAAAGTGCCTGATTGCATCTGTTGGTGATGCAGGGATTCCAAGGAAGGAGGCACATGAAGCCAGCACGATCAGCCTAAGATCCGTTAGGGGATTGACTTATGGGAGCCCTTGTGATAATTCCTTTCTATGGACAATAAGCAGCAGGAGATTTGTCTACACTATGGCTTTTTATGGTTTTTTCCCCTGAAACTACTTAAGGGGCAATGGGCTGAAACATGCAGAATGTGGCCAAGGGGGTAGGATGTGTGAGTGGTCAACCAACTTGGAGATGGCTGATAGCCTACCACATATTTATACTTACCTGAGAGAGGGGGGCGGACAGAAAGGCAGTCTGCTGGAGGAGATGGAATGGAATGGGATCACTTGGATAAGTAGAGGGTTGGCCTTGTTAAGGAGCATGACCACCTTATTATGTGAGACAAGGGTGATGGAAGAGAGAGGGGCAGAAGGCACCTGAGTGACAGGAGATGAGGAAGAGGGGAGAAGAGGGAGCTCATGGTGAATGGCCTCCATTTTTTTCTCTGTAAAATATTAGACAAGGTTCTCAGCTGAGAGAGTGAGGGGAGGGGATCCATGGAAGGTTTGAGGAGGGATGAGAAATTTTGGAAGAGTCACTGTGAAGGTCAGGAAAGAGACTTCATAAGAAAGGTGGTGAAGGTTTGCCTTATAGCAGTGAGGGTCCAGTTAAGTTTGTGCAATATGAATTTATAGTGGACTTAAGCAGGACAGTTGCATGATTTTCTCTGCCTTTGTTCAATAATGTGTATGCAGGAGAAAGGCTAAGCAACTGGAAATAATTGCTTCTCTATCCTCATTAATTTTCACCTCAATTAAGACAGCTCATATCTAAATATTTCCATATGATCACTATTTTTTTTCCCATAATTTTTAAGCATCAGCCTTTTTTTCTCCTTAAAACTTTGTCATCTTGCTTTCAATCCTTGGAAACAAAGTCAGACCACATGGGCTTACTTATTTCTTGAATCTTGGCCTTGGAGTCAGGAAGATCTGGATTCAAATCCATCCTCTTACTAGCTGTGTGACTCTGGGCAAGTCACTTCACTTCTTCTGCCTCAGTTTCCTCCACTATAAAATGGAGATAATAACAGCACCTTCCTCCACAGTTGTTGTGAGGATCGAATGAAATAACATTCAGAAAGCGCTTACCACAGTGCCTAGCACATAGCAGGAGCTCATTTTTTTAAAAGGTCCCTCTGAACCAAGTGATAATTTCCCCCTTGACTACACTTAACATCTTAATGATTAGCTAGTCCACAGATGTAATGGAAAATAGCACTTTTTTGTTGATAGTATCTTGACACTGGTGTTCCTGCACTTCTGAAGCTGGCATTGCAGAGAGGGCACTGAGCTGCTTTGGTGGAGGGGACTTCCTGCCCTTGGACTTCCCTGTGCTGATGAAATCTCAGGTCTGTCCCCCTCTTCTCATCCTCCAAAAGCCCCATGCTCTCGATTGCCAAAATCTTTTTGTATCCTGCTCACTCATCTCGAGGGTTCATTGTTCCTCCAAGATTTGTGTTGTCTGCAAATTAGAAGTGAACACTCATATCCAACTTGTTGGTGAAGTGATTAACGAGGCCAGACTGGGACAGATTCAGTGCCCTACCCCTCCCCCCGGTGACCTCGACTTCTGAGTCCCACTATCCAACCCGAGTTCAAATAACTGCCCTAACTAGCTGCTAGCTAGGTGAGCCTAAGGAAGTCATTTAACCTCTCTCAGAATCTGGTAACTCTTAAAAATTCTAAGTCTAGGAGGACTGTGATCTGTGCTGGTGTAGAGAGCTCCAGGCTGATGACATCAATGGTCCTTGATCTGTTGTCAAAGAACCCACCTAATTTTAGTATGGTCTGGTGTCCATCCCTAGTGCGAGAATATGAAGTTTACCAAGAGTGTGGCTAGAGTCTATGTAAGCTCCTTCTAGAGCATCCTGGGGTCCATGAACTTGGATTTTAAAAAAATCTTTTTTTTGGTAACCGTATTTCAATAGAACGGATTTCCTGTGAATCCTATGGATTTTAGCTCATACTCAAAATGCATAATTGAGAGGAGGCTTCACTACACTGGCTGCCCAAGGGGCCCAGGCCCTAGAAAAGGGGAAGAACCCCAGACCCATTGGCATTCCTAAGGACCACCAGTTTAGCAAATCTATCAAAATGAAATGAGGTTAGCCTGTCAAGCTGCCCTTTGCATCATGTACAGGGCACAATGGGACACACAGAAATGCTAGAATCCTGATCTCCCCTGCCCTCGAGGAGCCAACAACCTTCTTGGAGAAATAAAACAAGGAGTCATTGAAAGGTGCACCTTCCTCCTGGCTCTTCACTCAGGCTCTGCAGGCTTGCTGTGCCTGGGTGAGAAAGGGTTCAGATGGGCAGAGCAGGGGAAGGCTCCGAGGAAGGAGAGGGCCTGGTATGATGGGCTAGTCATCAGGGATGGCTCCCTGGCAGAGGCGGGGAGATGAGTGCTGAGCCTTGAAGGATGTAGCTATGCAGAGATAATGATGAGGCCCTTTTGGGCAGTGTAGGGCAAAGGAAAGATGGTTAGATCAGGCAAAAGAACTAGGTTCGAATCCTGACTTTGCCACTTTCTGAGTGATTTGGCACAAGTGGCTGAGTTTCTCTGGGCCTCAGTTTCCTTAGCTGTAAAGTGAGAGGGTTGGGCCAGACCACCTCTAAGACCCCTGGATCTGTGATCTCATGAGGCACCTGAGTAGAGGTTGGGAGAAGGGCAGAGAAGGGGAGAACAGAAACTTACGGGCTGAACCTGAGGAGTCTGGGGCTGAACTCTCGAAGCCTTGAATGTCAGACTAAAGAGTG